TAACTTTATCTATTGACAAACATTTTCACATACCTCCATCCTATAAATTTTCCCAAAGCTAAAAACACAAACATTTCAGTCTACTAACCCCAATCCTAACTTATCACCACCTTACTTTATCTGTTCACTATTCCATTATAACAAGCATTTAAAAGTCATTTTTTTCCAATTATATATCAGCTGCAACATATAGTTCACTCTGTAATGTAGTTTAATCTGTCTCCTATAAGAAAATAGACTGTTTTTTTGAAGTAACATGTCTGCATGTCTTCTTTATTTAATTGAATGGAATTTTCTTCCTAGTCTCTTCCTTTGAGCTTTCAACCCTCTCAACTCCAAATTTTCATTGTCCATCTTTAATTTCCTACCACGACATTTTTTTCCTTTCTTTTTCAGTTTTTCTTGTACTTTGCACATTCTTTTTTAGTGTCTCTGTTTTTAAATAGAAAGGCTTTGTTGGTTTCTTTCCCTTTACTTTAGTTGGTGTAACTTGAGATTCAGGGCATCTTTTAGTTTGGTAACATCCTATGGTCTCAACATCCCTCTGGATAGACTGTCCCTTATTTCCCTCCCTACTTGCAATTGTGAACTATATGTCATTTCTGTAAAGTTTACACACACTTCTTCTTTGTTTAGCATAGATTGGAACTCAATGCCCTCTTCCATTTGACCCTTTTTTTGTTCTAATTGTGAATTATGTGCTGTTTCTAAAAAATCTACGCAGGCTTTTTCAATACCCTTTTGAATCTGTTCCCTTAAAATCTTCAGGAATTGTTCCATGGAAAAATCTCCCACCAGCATATTCTCATCCATTTCCTCCTCCTCTTGTGTTATCAGCACCATTTTAATTACACAGTTCAATTCATTTCACTCAAGTTCTTATATTCATACACAATACATAGCCTTTTTCCTGTACATTTCTATGCCAATGGAAAGAAAAAGCAAGAAAAAGTTCTCCAAAGTTGCAAACACGCCAGAGAATAAGAATATTCCTGCCGCTCCTAATCATCTTCTGGCCGCTAAACTTCTCCTTTTCGAGCAAATGATTTTAGGGTAATGTTGCCACCAATTTTCTCTATTACGAAGTTAGAAGTAGTTGTACTCACAAATTCACTTCTTGGGCTTCTTCTTCTGTGTTATTTACTTGAAGTTTTAAAATCCAAACATGGTTAAAACGGGTGGCTGCAGCTACATAGAACATGGCGTCCATGCTCCACCCCACAAGTTGCTCCTGCTTCGGGGCAATAATGGACATCCCCCTGCATTTGCCAGCTGAGGAAGGGGCCAGAACAGAGCCCCCTGCTCCAATCCTCTCTCCAGGAGGTCTGGCGGAGTTCTCCCAGCAACCAGGAGGCTCCAAAAATAGCGAAAAGGGGTCAGGCAGCTGGGAGCAAACCGAGAGCCTCCCGTTGCCGCGCCATGCCTGGGCTCCTTGACAGATCCCTTTGGAGTGCCTTACAATCCTCCCTGGTTCTCAGCACCCTGAACAATTCCATGTCATCCACAAATTTAGCTACTTCACTGTTTACTCCCAACTCCAAATCATTAATGAACAAGTCAAAAAGCATTGGACCCAGTATTGATCCCTGTGGTACCCCACTGCTTACCACCCTCCACTGTGAAAATTGCCCATTTATACTCACTCAATTTCCTATTAATTAGCCAGTTTTTGATCCCCAAGAGGACTTGTCGTTTTATCCTGTGACTATTGAGCTTATTTAGGAGTCTTTGATGAGTAACTTTATCAAAAGCTTTCTGGAAGTCAAGGTAAGCAACATCTGTTGGGTCCCCCGTCCACATGTTTGTTCACTCCCTCAAAGAACACTAACAGGTTAGTGAGACAAGATCTTCCCTTACAGAACCCATGCTGAGTCTGCCTTAATAGTTTTTGTTCATCAATGTGCCTGCTACTTCTCTCCTTAATAACAATTTCCACCCACTTACTCGGTATTGACTCAGACTGACTGGCCTGTAATTTCCCGGATCTCCTCTGGAACCCTTTTTAAAGATTGGAGTGACATTAGCTACCTTCCAGTCCTCTGGAATTGAGGCAGATTTTAATGAAAGATTACATATTTTTGTCAGGAGATCCACAGGTTCACACCACAAGTTCACATTTGAGTTCTTTCAGAACTCTTGGATGTATGTCATCCAGGACTGGTGATTTATCAGTTTTTGTCTATCAGTCGTAGGACTTCCTCTCTCATCACCTCAATCTGACTCAGGTCTTTCAACACTCCTTCCAAAATCAGCGGTTCTGGAGTGGACCAGCAGTTTTCATCTTCCACAGTGAAGACAAAGGCAAAAAAATACATTCAGCTTCTCAGCAATTTCCCTATCATCCTTCAGTAATCCTTTTACCCCTTGCTCATCCAAGGGCCCCACTGCCTCCCTGGCTGTTTTCCTGCTTCTAATGTTGGTCTTTACGTTTTTTGCTATATGCTCCTCATATTACCTTTTTGCCTGCCTGATCACAAACTTGCATTATATTTGCCACAGCCGGTGTTCCCTTTTATCAACCTCACTGAGACTAATTTCCCACCACTTAAAGGAATCCTTCTTACCTTTTACAGCTTCTATTACTTTGTTTGTTAACCATGTAGGCTTTTTTCTATACCTATTTGTGCCTTTCCTAGCCTGTGGTATATATTTTTTCTGAGCTTCTAGGATTGTAGTTTTAAATAGTCTCCAAGCTTCCCCAATGGTTTTGACCCTTTCTACTTTTCCTTTCAGTTTCCTCCCCACATGTCCTCTCATATCAGAGCAGTTACCCCTTTTAAAGTTAAAAGTGGTTGTGTCGGTCTTTTTGGGCAACTCAATAACATTATGGTCACTATTCCCAAGCACTGCAATCACTTTTACATCTCTCACCAGGTCTTGTGTGGATTGTTCGTCACCGATTATGACAATTATTTTGTCTAGCTGCTATCCTTAATTAATTCATCTTTTTATAATCCTCCTCTATCTTTTGATCTGGTAGGAATAACAAACTCACAGTGTTAAACTTCCTTTAGGGCTCACTATTTCGACTCATAGCATTTCCAGAAGCAAATTCAATTCATTTACTGTGCCTCCAGCTTCAGTAGAAGATGTCTTCCATTAAGTTTTCTTATCACATCCAGCAGACTTTTTGGCCTAAGTTAGCTGGATCAGTATGTTCCTCCTTATAAATTCACACAACAATAGAAGAGGTACATTCCTGGGGAAACCTACCAGACCTATCTATATGAGTAAATAGGGTGGCTAAGACAGGTGCTCAACAGTCCTGAGAAGGTTTCAGCAAGTCAGGTGGAATAGAATTCTCACCTGGGGCTGTATTATTTCTGATTGCAAAGATCAGATACTTTATTTCACTAATAGATTCTGGTGAACTCGCTGATGACGTTATCATGGAATGTCAACTATGTTACCCTACTGAGTTGGATCATTAAATACTTTTTAAAAGTGTTTTTCCCAGCAATCCCTTATGTATGTAAGCATCTAGCTCATGGAGTACTCTCCCTTCTGCAGTTGCAAGTATGCACCAAAACTTCAGCATATCTTTCTGAGTTAAGGTAAAACAAAATTCCTGACATGATTTCCACTCAATTTATGAATATTTACAAATCTTCTACACCGTTAAACACTTCACACAAAAGGTATCAACTACTTCTATGTACAACATGAAAGGCACTACGTAATTGTTTCAAAACTGCATTTTAACATTTCAGCTTAACTCATCCAATACTTAAAAATATTCTGAAGCAATCCAATGACACACATCAAAAACTCTCTTATCCTCAAACATATCTACCACATGAGACAGAAGTTGCCCTAAACTGTCCCTTATCTCCCACAGTTTCTCTTAATATTTTTAATACATCATTTTAAGTTTCAGAGTCGTACACTGACTCCTTATGGGGCCTAATATGACCACTCTATGACCAAACATAGTTCATAATCATCCCAGTCATAAGCATATTATTTGGGAATACTGCTCTTCATGGAAATTGCTAGTAAAAAAGAAATCACTTACAAATGCCCAGAATATGCTCTGAAAATCCACAATACAGTATACTCGCTGAAATTATGCAAGGATAGGTCTGTTGATTGCTATAGATCAGGTTTTGCTTGTTGCAATAATGGATCCATTCTGGGAACCTACCTTAGTACTTGTAGGCCTGGCAAATGGGGAATTTTGAAAGAAGCATCAGTTACCAGATTGGCTAAATGTTTAAATAATAGCTGGAGACCACAAACTCATCAATCTGTTAAGATACTGAACCATCAAAGAAGGGCTTCAGACAATGGATTCAGTTGGATCCAAAAGTCCGTGCACATAGCATCACTCATGGACCAGATCTTGCCTGCCTCCCCCTTCCTGGTAAAGCTCACTGCATTCTCTGAAGTGCTGGGTTGGTGGGCGTGGACAGGATTTTCAAGTGCAGCCCAGCATTTGGTATGGAGGTCTGTATTTGGAGGAGGGAACTGGTGAACATTTTGACTCCTTTTGCACTAACTGATGTGTCTCTTCACTTTCAGAAGCTCCTTTGGCTCCAACCCATCTTTAAAAAGGAGTGAGAGACATGAGAGTGAGTTGCAAATCTGCTTTTCAAGATGGCTTTCCATGCTCAAAGACAAAAACTGTAAATCTTCCCCAAGGGTTGATGCATACAAACTTGACTGAACACAGATTAAAGATGTTGCACTTTAAAGTATGAAAAGGAGATGTTCACTTGCTCATCTGCCTTTCTCACTTTCTTGCAGCGTCAGGAATCATTTCTGATTTCAGTGACTTCTTGGGTTCTCAGTACATGGGGAACAAATAATAATAATCTTGTTTCAGATCTGTAAGGACTTTCTCATATATTTCAAAAACAGTATGGATAATATTATGGACCGAACATAAAATCAGCACTTGTAGTGGTTTTACTACAGATAATTTTGTACTAGATCATATTTTAACAACCACGTTAACCCTTCACCTTTCCAAAAAAGTATCATTTTAATACTATCTTTACCTTGGTATATTGCTCACGTTCAAGTTCTTGACTAGAACCAGACCCTGTTGTCTGATTATAACGGTGCATTTTCATTTTCATCTGTCTTGTTCGCTCCTCCACTACTAAATTTGCTGTAAAACACATAATGGAAGCCTATTAAAAGAGGTGGAAAACTTTTGAAATAATAAGTGGTTCAGATGCAACTTTGACCTTATTTCGGTCTGAGCAAGAAGTATTCAAAAAACAAAACAAGCAGGACGTGAACACAGAACACAGGAATCTAATGCTAATGTAATTACTTATCTTGCTTGCAATAGTTACAAGAATTTTTTAAAAGTTTGCCACATATTTGTAGCTCATGTAAGAGCTGAAAACCAGAAAAGAATGTAAGCTTATTAATTGTTCTTTGATAGTGATGGACAGTGCAGGTATAGAACTGCAGCATTCTGTGATCTGACCATTTAATATTTAATAATGGAAGAGGCTGTAGATCAGTTACAAAGCGTGTTTTGCATGCAAGATTCTAATTCAATATTTGGCATTTTCCGTTAAAAGGATCCACAGATAGGGGATCCTAGGGGAACAAAACCTCCTTTGCCCAAGATCAGACATTCAGATTTAAATTGACCAATGGATCGCTATAAAACAGCTTCATATATTTAATATAACCTTTAACTGTGTTAGTATGTTGAAAACAAAATGCTATCATGATGTGCTGAGTGAGTTCTAAGCAATCCTTGCACCATTTACTGTATAACTGGCTAAACTGCAATCTACCAGGAAAAAAAAAAATCTTACATGAGCTCTACTGGCTAGGTAACCAATTCAGATGTCTGATTCATTGTAATGCAATCTGTGTAGAAGAAGACTTCAATAGGTCATGCTTAATTTGATTACGTAACTTTATATTTATTATTTATACAACAACACCAGTATTTGTGCCACAGGCAAAAAAAGGCAGATCCCTCCCCCATAAGAAATTACAAACTAAACAAACAGTGGGAAAAACAAAGCGAGCGAATGAAGAGACAAGGATAGTGATGACTATGGACTGCTGCAATTACATGTACTTGGGAATGGGATTAAAGGTTCAAACCATTAGTTCCCAAAGATGGCAATACTGCTCTCCAGGGGGCAGTGGGAATACCTAGGGGGTGCTAAGAGGCAAAGGGGCAGCTCGATTTCAGCTCATCAGTGTTTTACGTCCATGCATTGCAAGGCAGGGCCTTCTCCAAGTTGTGTTTGGAGTGCACTCATTCCGGATTGTGGCGGCTACCCTTGCATTTGAGTGTGGTTTCACGTTGGATCAGATAAGGGCCATAGGCTGTTGGCACTCATCTGTATGTGTCCCCAGGTTTATCATATTGACCGGTTTGTCTTTCTAGGCTCTTTAGATTCACAGAAGACAGTTCTGATCATTGAGCACAGCATCATTTACTGGGCAAGCAAATATACAGCTTTGTCAGGATGGGATTCCAACCTGGTTCTCGGTGAACATCTTCAGATCAACTGGTGGGAACAGAGAGGAATGAAGTGGTCGGCACTTCTGTCCACCATAGCATTAAGGCCCCACCTCAAGCCATCATAATTCATTTAGGGGGAAATAATATTCTTTTACAAAAGGGTGTGGTGTTGTCCAGAACTATCATCGCTGATCTCTGAAATCTGCAGCAATGGCTCCCTGGGGTAATGTTGATATGGTTGAGTTTGCTGGAATGACGAGGATGGAGGGGGGCTCTGGCACCGGAAAATGTGGACTTAGCCAGAAGAAAGGTGTGCAAGGTGGCGTCACAATTTCTAAGGACTCAGGCATTCAGTTCTATTTTGAGGTGATGGTATGCACCTCTCCATGTGGGGCATAGACATCTGGTTGCGTGGAATCTGTGAGGCTCTATGAGGATAGCTGCAGGCTTAGGAGTTTTGGTGGGAGTGGGACATGGTGTCCCCAGCTCTTTGACTGTTTGGACATTTATTTGGATCCTTTGGGGGAAGGTTGGGCCTGTGTGCACACCTCCCCCATTTTGGGGGCTCCCACAAGGGGCCTTGGAGTGGGAAGCCACTCAGCCTCATGCCCAGGCAGAGGTTGCTGGCTGGCTTCCACCTCCAAATGGCAGGGGGACCATGTAGAGGCCAGCGCCTGCATGTGTCCTGGTATACTGTCACTCCACAGGTGATTCCCCAGCAGGAACCCCTAGGACTTATATCGGCTTCTTATCTCACTACATATGCTAAGTCACTCAGTTCTCACCCAGAAATCAAACTTTTTTGGTATTAAAGTTTTGCGGGGAGTGGCACGTATGTCAGATAACATTAACTCACATGTAAGTACAGAAATGAAAACCTCAGAGTGCATAAAACATGGATTCCAATGTCTCTACACTAATGCGCAGAATATGGTAAACAAGCAGGAGGAACTTGAAGTCCTAATACAGAGAGGGGACTATGACCTAATAGGCATTACTGAAACTTGGTGGGATGAGACTCACAATTGGAATATTAGGATTGATAGGTAAAACGTATTTAAAAGGGACAGAAAAATAAGGAAGGACGGAGGAGTTGCATTATATGTAAAGGAGGTATATACTTGTGAGGAAATATGTTAATCTGAGCATGAAAGTCTGGTTGAGAGTCTCTGGGTAAAAATAAAAGGAGTAAGAAATAATACTGATATCATGGTGGGGGTCTGCTATAGACCACCAAGCCAGGCAGAGGATTTGGATGAGACACTTCTACAACAGATTACAAAGTTCTCAAAGAGATGGGACACGGTGGTCATGGGAGATTTCAATTACCCGGATATTTATTGGAAGTCCAACTCTGCTAAGAATGAAAGGTCCAACAAATTCCTAACTTGTCTTGCTGACAACTTCATTTTCCAGAAAGTGGAGAGGGAAACAAGGGGATATGCTATCTTGGACTTGATACTTATCAACAGAGAAGAACTAATTGACGAGGTGAAAGTAGTGGGCACCCTGGGTCATAGTGACCATGCAATTTTGGAATTTACAGTCTTGGGGAAGGTAAACGCTGTACATAGTAGGACATATAGGCTGGACTTCAGGAAAGCAAATTTTTGATAAACTTCAAGTTATGCTGGGTAGAATCCCATGGTCATAAATACTTAAGGAGAAGGGAGCTCAAGAGGGATGGGAGTGTCTTAAAAGTGAAATACTGAAGGCACAATCACAAACAATTCCTATGAGAAGGAAAAATGGGAGGAGCCTAAAGAAGCCAAGGTGGCTCCATACACAGCTTTCTAAGGACTTGAGAAATAAAAAAGACTCATTCAGAAAGCGGAAGGAGGGCCTTATAACCAAGGATGAATACAAACAAATAACCAGTGCTTGTAGAGAGAGAGTTAGGAAAGCTAAAGCTCAGTATGAGCTTAGACTACCAAGTGATGCTAAAAACAACAACAAAAGGTTCTTTTCTTATGTTCAAAGTAAGAAAAAGAGCAAGGACATGGTAGGCCCATTGCGGGGACAGGAAAGTGAAATTGTAACAGGTGATGAAGAGAGGGCAGAACTGCAAGGGAAATGGTGCTCAACATGGCAAAAAAAGAACACATGATGATGGAATGGAATTGCAGCTTAGGATTGACATGGGGGTAGTACATAAACACCTAGTTTCTTTAAATGAAATGAAGCCTTCGGGGCCAGTCCTTGAGCATTTACTAAGAGCCAGCATGGGTTTCTCAAGAACAAGTCATGTCAGACTAACCTTATCTCTTTTTTTGAGAAAGTTACTACCTTGCTGGATCAGGGGAATGCTGTAGACATAGTTTATCTTGATTTCAGTAAGGCTTTTGATAAGGTTCCACATAACATACTTGTTGACAAACTGGAAAAATGTAGTTTGGATCCTATGACTGTTAGGTGGATCTATAACGGGTTGACAGATCGCACCCAAAGAGTGCTTATGACTGGTTCCTCATCTTCTTGGAGAGGAGTGACAAGTGGAGTGCCTCAAGGATCTGTCCTGGAACCTGTTTTGTTCAACATCCTTATCAGTGATTTGGATGAAGGTATAGAGGTTATTAAATTTGCAGATCATACTAAATTGGGAGGGGTAGCAAATATCGTAGAAGACAGAGTCAGGATACAGGATGATCTTGACAGGCTGCAAAACCGGCTAAAACTAATAAAATTAATTTCAATGGGGATAAATGTAAAGCTCTGCATTTAGGTAGAAATAATCAAATGCATAATTATAGGTTGGGGGAGACTTGTCTTGGCAGTAGTATGTGCGAAAAGGATCTAGGGGTCTTAGTAGACCATACACTGAACATGAGTCAGCAGTGTGATGTGGTTGCTAAAAAGGCAAACTGCTCTGGTTATACCTCACCTAGAGTATTGTGTTCAGTTTTGGGCACCACAATTTAAGAAGGATATAGACAAGCTGGAACATGTCCAGAGGAGAGCAACGAAGATGGTGAGGGGTCTGGAGACCAAGTCCTATGAGGAAAGGTTGAAGGAGCTGGGTATGTTTAGCCTGGAGAGGAGACGATTGAGAGGTGACATGACAACCATCTTCAAGTACTTAAAGGGCTGTCATCTAGTGGATGGTACGGAGTTGTTTTCTGTTGCCCCAGAAGGTCAGACCAGAACCAACGGGTTGAAATTAAATCAGAAGAGTTTTTAGCTAAACATTAGGAAGAACTTCCTGACAGAGTGGTTCCTCAGTGGAACAGGCTTCCTCAGGAGCTGGTGGGCTCTCCTTCTTTGAAGGTTTTCAGACAGAGGCTAGGTGGCCATCTGACAGCAATGCAGATTCTGTGAACTTATGCAGATCATGAGAGGGAGGGCAGGAAGGGTTGCCTCAGTGCTTAGTTCTTGTGGCCCTTTTTTACATGCTCAGAGAAATGCTGATTGCCAGTCTGGGGTCAGGAAGCAATCCTGGAGATTTTTTGTCATCTTCTGGACGTGGAACAGTGGTCACTGCAGGTGTGGAGGGGGAGGTATTTGTGGATTTCCTGCCTTTTGCAGGGGATTTGACTAGATGACCCTGGAGGCCCCTTCCAGCTCTATGATTCTATGATTCTAAAAGTGTCACTGGACTCAAACTAAGTTATCACATCTGTTGTTAACTTCTTTATTATCTGTATACCAACTTACTGCTATTTACATGTCTT